GCGGAGCAGCGGCGGAGGAGCCGTTTCGCACAGGCGCCCACGCACCGCCGCCGGCTCAGTCCCCGCCCGTCTCCAACCGTCTCCATCCTCCCCTGCGCTCCCGCCCACGGCCCCCCCGCGCACCCAGGCCGCCCGCTCCCCGCGCCGCTCCTGCGCGCCCTAAGCCCCCCCAACCTAACCCCCGACCTGCTCCCTGCCAGCCCCGCCCCGTCTCCGCTCGTCTCCGCCCCGCCTCCTCTCGATCCCGCCCCAGCCGGCCACCCCGCCCGCTCCGCTGCCACACGCTCCCACTGGGTGTCTAAACCGACTGCCACCAGGCTGCCTTGCCCACTTCCGCCTGTCCCCACCATCACCGGCCCACGCCCAATCCACCCACTTCGCGATTCTGTGTCCCAGCGGAATCCTTTCTGGCGCACATCCCCTCCCCGCCACCGCGGCCCCGGCTCCCACGCTGACACTCTGGTCCGGGCCTTTTACACCGCATACGCCGTGCCGTGCCCCGCGGCGAGCCCCCACCCCCGCCTCCGCGCCTCCGCCCCCGCACGCCTCCGCCCCGCGCCTCGTCTCCGCGCCAGGCTCCCAACGCAGGCGTAAGAAGGACGGAAGAGAGCTTGCGCGTGCCGGAGTAATCGGACGGCGAGTGTTTCTGCGAAGTGGCCGCGGAGGGCGGAGGGACGGCGAGGGAGACGCACAGCCGCGGGAGAGAGCGAGGACGAGGACGCGGCTTCTGTCGAGAAGAAAGTAGCTAGTGGGCGCCCGGCCAGAAGAGGGCACTGGCGTGTGAGAGGGTGGATGACGCCAGACGGAAACGCGTGTGATGATGCAACCAATGAGAATCGTAGGGGAGAGAGGAAGGTGGAGATACGGAAATGGAGAGGAAGCATGACAGGAACGCATAAAACAATGAAGTGATGAAAAATAAAGCCGTTTTTATATAATAATAATAACAATAATAATAATAATAATAATAATAACATACATAAACTTTCGTAGAATTTCCCAGAATCTGATCGTTCATAAGCAACTATCACACTAGAATCGTATTCGGAGGCTGAGAACATCTCGTTTTAAAGATGAAGACGCAAGCAATACATCTTAAGGCTCCAAAAACTGTGTTGTACAGAATATTGTCGCATAATCGACTCGGAGAAATCTTTTAACTACAATTCTCAATGAAACAATAATATTTTTAATTACAATTGACTTGTATATAACAAAGGGTGAAGAAAACTTTTTCATTTATTTCTCATTATTGTTGTATATTTTGTAGGTGAGTAGAAAAAGGGGATTTCATCAAAAGAAATAATATGCTATGCGAGTCAAACTATTTCAAGTCGTTTTTTATTCTGTGTGTTTCTTTTTTTACTGATACGTAATTGTTTGTTATTACTTGGATCGCCCCGCGCCGCGCTGCGCCGCTCGTTCACAAGCGCCCCTAAAGCCTCTTCGAGCGAATTGTCCTTATTTCCGCTTCTTTTCTCCGCCAGCCGCCTTCCCACTCGGCCGACTGAGCCGTCTTCGTCGATACTCGACCAACTTCCAGCTGCAAGGCCCTCGAGCGGCCGCACCGGACAAAAGGGGAGAAGTCGTTCCAAAAAATATCCCTTTGAGGGCACTTCCCTCTTCTTCTTATTCTTCTTATTCTTCCGGTGTTACGTGCCTTGTGGAACGTTGCTGACTGATGTTCGACTTTCCTGGCCAATTATGAAACGATGAAAAATGATTTACATAATTAAATAGTGGATTTTCTTAACCTTCTTCAGAACTATCACAAGATGAAAACAATCAATACGAACGGAGCTGTCAATAACATCAGTATCCAGGCTGACAGCATAAATAACTAATGAACTCTAGAAATGTCTATCACCTCAATAGTTGAAACACAAAATGATTGATGAAAGGACAAGTGTTTCTTGGACTTGCACTGAATATTGAAGGGATAACGACACATTGAACCCTTAGTAGGCCGTAGTAAGAAGTACAGGAAATTACATGATAGCATTCAGAAAATATGTATTGTGAATCATACTTCCGTGAATAAAGCCATTGTAATAAAAGAATATTTTCTGCAGTAATATTAAACTCTCTCCTTCATATCGATTTTATAAATTTAGCGGAGCACTTTGAAGCATTATCGCCCTCTTGACTCCGCCCGTTGGCCCCTCCGAATGTCAGAGCGACTCCTGCGATCATGCTGCCACGTTAATCTTAGCTGGGACACAGAGGAGGAAGGAAAGACAGAGGAAAAGACGGTGGAAGAGGAGGGGAAGGGATATGAAAAGGAGAAGGTAAAAAATAATAAAGAGAAATATTAAAAAATAAACCGAATATAAACGAATCGAAAGAATAAGAAAGAAAAGAAGGGAAAAAGAAAAGAAGAATTAGAACTAGGAGTGCTACAAAATGGCACACTTTCTCATACTAGTTATTTTCCATATTTTATTTGTCTGAGCTATCTTTTCGGTTTTGAAACACGCCCTTCTCCCCTTCCCAGTGT